AAAAAAGTTTCGTTTTATAACATATTATTTATCTTAGAAACTTTAACAACAACAAAAATAGCAATAAATATTGATGTAGAATAAATATATTGTTTCCTTTCTTGATAATTATATTTGGTTAGCTGCTATCATTGTAAGGCAAACATAATTTTTGATGAATACCATTTTTTGTTACACGTGAAAAGTAACAAATACGTGGCATCAATACATTACGTGTTTTAATGTTCGTCTTATGCATCGGACGGAAATAATCGTCGAGATTGTTTAATGCTTGTTGGTCTATATTGGGATATGGCTTGACATTGTTGTATTCATCGTTCAAATCAGCTAGAAATGTATGGGGCATGGCATTGGTAGAAAATATCATCGTGGAGTAAATTACTAAATATAAACTAAACCAAATTTTAGCAGCCATTGATGTTAAAATAATGAAATAGAAGTGAAAGCAAACTAGAAAAATCTATTTAAATATAAAAAAAAAGAAAAATATGAAGCTTATTTTTTTTTGCTTCGGTGGTACGCGTAGGTAACATATACGTATTAGCCAGATGCTTTTCTTTAAGTTCGTACTAAACATAATTGTTTCTTCTCCTCTAAGTGCATATTTAATTCTGTTAAAATCATGATATACAAAAAACCTTTCGATATATAGCTTATTCATTTATTAATTATTAGCTGTATAAATTTCATTTTTTTCCAAGTGTTGCTTCCCTCCTTCTAAAAATAAATAATAATAATAAACTTCAAGTTCATTATATTCTAGACGGTTTGGGAAGCATATAATATAATCGACATGTAGTACATTTGGAGATCGTTTTGACCGTTAAAAGAAAGTCCTCATGATACACTCTGAACTTGAAAACTATTGAAAGTTATCAATAAAAAAAATTGTATTATGCACATATGTAATGCAAGGAATATCAGTATTTATTCCAGAATGAAGAAATACAACTGGCTGATATTTAATAAATTACTTTCATTTATGAATCAAACCGAATAATTTTCTTTTATTGAAGTAGTTCAAATAGATATATACTAAATCACTAATAGTACGTAGTTTAGATATTAAATAAAAATGACAATCGACACATTAATACATATGTATATATATTTGTTATATTAGTTCAATTAACCACTACGTCGTGTACTTTTTATTGTTGTTGTAAGAGTGCTCTTTTTACTAGTAATTTTTTGTGTATTAGATTTTATAGTTGTTGTTGTTGTAGTTTTTGGTTGAATGGAAGCAAGTTTTGTTACTACAGTTTTTTTAGGTATAATAGCAGTAGTTTTTGTTGCAATACTTGTTTTTGGTATAACAATGGTTGTTTTAGATGGTTTTGCTGTTGAAGTCTTTTTGCTATCAGGCGTAGTAGTTTTTATTGACGAACTTGTTTTTTTCAATTGTGTAGTTGTTAAAGTTTTTTTCTGACTTGTAGCCGTCGTTTTCGTAGTAGTAATAGACGAAATTTTAGTACTTTTTGAAGTAGATATTTTAGTTGAAGCTGTTGTTGTAGTAATGGGTCGTTTATGAATTGATGCATTCGGACAATGTGTAGGAATACAACGACGTGTTGATAATGGTTGTTCATTTTCATTGCATATTGATGAACTACACCATACATTTCGCGTCAATGTTGCATTGTTACAAGATCCTGTACACTAAAAAACAAATAAGTAGTAAACTTCTGGATTAGATTGTATAAGAAACTTACAGTATCTGACCAATGTGAAACAAACCATTGTCCACATGTTGTATTACATGGTCGTCGATCAATTGGCTTTGAATTTTCATTCGCATTACAAATCGAATTTAAATCATGTGAAGCACATGTAACAGTTCGATATTGCATAGCACATGGATTCGACGAAGTACAATTCTATAAAGATTTTCTTCTTATATAAGTATTCTTTTGATAAAAAAAAACATTCATACGTACTCCAGTCCATACACCTGTACTCCATTGATCATATATTTTTAAAGTACTACATTTTGGTATTGTTAATGAGGCATTTTGTGGACATTCTCTTATAGTACTAGGTATAGAAGAAAGCCAATGACTACATATACTTGTAGGTATTGTATGTGTTTTATTATTTGATATAGTTCGTACACAAAGAAGACTTCGTCGTTGTATAGCTTCTTGTGGCCAACAACGACCTTCACATGATCGCCATGGACCAAGTTGCCAACGTGGAGCTGAAGATACTTGTGTTGAACAATTAATATGACGACATTTTATTGGACGTGGTTTTAATTTCACATCACATAATTGATCAGAAACAACAATTAATTCATTTTGTTGTGATTTAAAAATACATTGAGGTTGTTGTGTAGTACATAGACAATCATCATATGTTTCATTTTCAAATGTCCATATATAATAATTATTAATTAATTTTGTTTTATTTGTTAATGTCTGATTATCTAATTTCCAATAAGTAAAATTTAATTCAATTTTATCATTATTAAGCATAAGTAACATAATATCAATATCTTCATTTAATGGATATCGACTACCTTCAAGTACTTCATGTTTTGGTCCACGTTTATACCATATTCGTGTTTGATCAATATGAAAAGTTTTACGTTCAGTTATAGAATGATCTCCATTTAAATAATATCGATCTATATATATGGATAGATAGATAAACTAGATAAATTGTCTTATAAAACAAACCTTTTATTTTTATAGCAAGAAAACTATTTGAATTAGTCAATTTTTCAATTCGAAATGTAACAATTCCTTTTGATATATTTCCTACTTTAACATATGAACCAGATGGTATTTTATCTGGTTTTTTATATGTAAATGGATCTATTATTTGTCGACAATAACTTCGATTTCCATTACATACTCCACATTCATCTTCAATAGCTGTTGAATATAATTGATTATCACATCCTAATTTCTACGAAATTAATTTTACATATATTATATATTTAATCTATCGAAGAACAACTTACTTGACACTGGCCAGCAATACACATACCATTATGTTGTATAAATTCATCATCATCATCATTATCATCAATTTTACATTGTGTTCCATCACGAAATTTAATTGATTCAACTTTACCAACTTCATCACCGGCTAATGTTATATTCGAATTTGTTGATGTATTATTCTCAAGTAATGATAATGATGATAAAATTGGAGTACAAAAAACCATACATGGTACTTTCGTAAACCATGGTACAGTTTTCCATTTAGTTACATTTGATTTTGAATTTAATTCTTCACAATCCAAATGAGATTCAGATTTATGATTA